TTTTTTTCTTATGCCATTTTATTGAATGCAAAACAAACAACGAGAGACAAGTATGATAAAGAGAGCATTATATGAAATTTCGAAAGCATTCAACTATACTTTTCGCTTTTTTTTTTTTTTTTTTTTTTTTTGAACCTACATCATCGATGGATTTTTGCATTTCTCTCTTTCGTATAAGTTAAACCTTACGATCTAAAAAGGGGATAGTCTATGTGTTGTACTTTATAACAAGTAACAAGTGTAGGGGCGCTGTGCGCGTGTCCTTTGACCAATTCAGGTCAAATTCTTTTGAATATTTGTAGCCGATATCTTCAATTTTACGCATTGGAGATTGTTTACCACGGATACTACATAGTTGCGCAGACGGACAGATCGACAATCGAATAGATAGACATGCTTAGGTGCATTCCAAATTTCAAACTAGCCAGGAAATTCATATACTTCATGGCATTGTTTCAGTGCGTTATAAAGTTATTGAAAAAAAAAAAAATTCCATTTTGATGCACTATAAAATTGCGTAGACGTGGCATCGCCTATAGAATATGTGTTCAAATTTTTGTACATTTTTCTGCGATAACTTCTGGGTAATGAACAAAAGACCTTTTGACAAACAGAGTTGTTCTCATTTGATGTAGTACTGTAGGCGTGTGCTTTAACCGATTTCGATGCATTTTCAACATCAATCTGAGTGTACGAACTTGTTCCAATTTTTCAGCAAAATTTGAAGTTAGGAGAATGCTTACAACAGAAGGACGGACGGGCAGACAGACATGGTTAAATCGCTTCAGAGTAAGATGCGTTGTGGAGTCTTCGCAGTTTTCTTCTGGGCGTTGCAAATGGTCCTGACAAAGTGATTAAGCTCCTCATCCTTCGGTGATGGGTGTAAGAAGACAATACTAGACCAATATCAAATAATAAGGTATTATAGGTTAACAATATTATTAATAACAAATTTCAATCTGGTCAGTCGAATATTATTTCGAATTTTACCGGCCTTCGTTCACCGACCAGAATTTAGGGCTGATCTAATGTTGTAATGTAATGTGATTATCGTTGGAAGCTATAATTATTCTACTGCTCCTCCACTTCATCAATTCATTTATTATGTATTTATTTCATTTTTAAGTAAGAGTAAGAAGAGATTTTAATGCGATCTTTTGGTTCTTTCTACTTTCAGGTCTCTCTGGATTCTTTCAAGGAAAAATAAACATTTTTTTTTTGTTTTTTTTTTTTTTTTTGATAATATTATCCCATTTACTGTTTGCATTAAACAAGGATCACATTCTTTAACCGATAAATGCGTTGAAACGAACTAAAAAAAAATATAAAAAAAAAAATTTTTGAAATTGAGGTTTTCCCTTGAAAACTCTCTCGAAAACCGAGTTAATGATTTTTGGTTTTTATTTTTAATTGCGTTTAATTGAAATATCGGTAAAAATGGCATTGCTTGAGGCGCGACCCTATCGACCCTTTAAATCCAGCGAAGAATATCTGGAGGCTATGAAAGAGGATTTAGCCGAATGGTTGAACACATTGTATCCCGAATTAACAATAAATGCCGATAATTTTATGGACCGCCTAGATACGGGTATAGCATTATGCAAGGTAAGTGAAAAATCAATTTCAACGTCCTTTTTACATAACACTTATACGATATTATTAGGACGACAGAGTATGTCTTAAAAAAAAAAAACAAAATTGAAAAAAGAAAAAGTAAGAAAGCAAAGAACATCTCTTCTATTTACAAATATCTTGAAATGCAATGATACACCCTACAGCATCTTGTATGATGATTACACTACGACTGATTTCGCCGATTTTGTCAAATAGTTTTTAGGGAAAACGAAATTATGGTCTAAGGAAAAGTAAAAGTTTATTCCTATGAAGTGGCTAACAAGAGACTATAGACTACAGGCCGATTGGAAAACGGCGTTGCAGATTGGCATCTTGTCTCTGTATGTATACTGCGTAGAAAAAGGGGCGAAGCAGCCAGTGGACGGGTCGAACTTTGCATATCTTCTGAACTATCAAACTTAAGGAACAAAGTGCACGTCGCCAACTGGTGAGGGCACCCATAGTGGACAATAAGACAGACATTAACCAGGATATCTAATTTCGAGATGATCTACAGCATAGTCCAACCTGTTGCTTATATTTCTTTTCGACTCTCTGACTCGGCCATCTTACGCGGCACTTACGCTGCTTTCGATTTCATTAATATCGTCATATAACTCACTGGCGCTTACGTTCCATTCGAAAGCATTAAGCGATTGATTTTCATCTGTTTAAGTTTTGAGGGGGCGTCATGATATTATTATTAGAAATTGTGCAAACGCTTGCAATCATTACAATCACCGTTAGCGTAAATACTGTGCTAAAGATTTCTTCCCTTCGCTATACTCACAGTTAAAAGTGAAAATATTGTAAAATTTTTCTTATATATTAAGGCTTTTTGTATCCGTTTGAACAAATTATAGGATGCTCTGCGATTTCCTATTTCCTAATTGTCGCGTAGACTTGTATTTGTTGCTCTTCTGATGAAATTGTTTTTTGATATTCAGTATTATTAGCTGCCATAAATGAAATTTGTAGACAAATGTTTGCTGCTTGATAGCAGCCTTAAGAAGGCATCAAATCGTTTTTAAAGTGCACATACATAGGTACAACTTGGAAAGGAAATGTTTTTGCACCTGCCTGAAAGTAGTCTGTATATGCGAAATGCACGAAATTTCACCTCTCTAGCCTAATTTGCAAAGTAAATATATGTTTTGTAAGGATCAAAGTCACACAGCTTGTTGTAGTCCTACACGTAGTCGTAGTAGTTATTCTTATGTATATAAAATATGACAAGTATATTTTATTTTTCACTCAATTTCTTTTATTGCAAGCAGTTTGTTATCCTCTTGCGACTAATATAGAGATGCTGTAATAAGGAAGCACTGCATAAGTAGAAACAGAACGGAATGGGAACTAAACGATTGGCAACGTCAATTCGTGTTCGAATACATATATATATATAGGCAAGAGGAAGATGACTTCCGATTTTCTCCTTCTTAACTGAATTGTCGAGAAGATAAGACGTGAAAGCGAGGGAGAATCCGTCATCATCCGCTGGAATCTGACGATGTAGATGCAGAATCCGAGCTGTTTGGTCTAGGTACTCCGTTCCATCTATGCATAATTGACGATTAATCGATTATTGATAGGTTCTTTACGCTAAGCATAGATAATCTAACTTTAATGCTTTAATGCTGCTAGGCTTTCTATTAAACATAAGCGAATTAATAAACAAAAGTCGAGTTATAATTATCAAGCGAGATTAGGATTTTCTCCTAATGACTGGACAAATAGAATCCACTAAGGAAAGGACCTGACCTGAAACAGCCATTGAGACCTGAATAGCCCCGGCATCTATTCTATTAAAGATAAATTTATCCAACGAACTGAAAATGTCAAGCTTCACAATTTAAATCGATTCAGATGAAATTGTCCGATAAAAAGTTTTCATTTATGTTAATCGAGAAATGGAAAAATGGATCTGTTAAATGCCATCTAGTTGTTGATGAGTGCAATTTTCACAATTTTCTCAAATATTTCTACCATAACTTATTATTCGATTCCTTGTCGATTGTTCAGTGCCATTGCGTTTGTACATTCTGTCAACTATATTAAAATTTTTTCACACAAAATCTCCTTCAATTTCCTCCTAATTTTTTTTAGTGCTACATCTATTTTTTATCATAACTTTCTTCTTTAAACTGAAAAATTCGTTGTAATATTTGGAAATTAATTCATTTACTTCACTAGTACTTATATTACTTGTGCTTGCTTAACTACGATATAGTAGTACGCGGAAATACACTCACGACTTTATTCAGTTGCTTTGTATTTACTCCGAAGAAGAAAACAAAACAAGCAATAATGAATATTTTCTTCTAAATTTAAAACATGAATGTATCCAGTAGCATCCATGTGCATTTACCCAGACTAAATGATTGAGGGACAAAATCAATTTCCATTTATTTTGATTTACATTTATTTATATTGAAAACTTGCAAACAGAAGGAGAATGAAAAAAAAATAAATAAAAAAACTTGAATTCATTTCATTCTGGTATTTCTTCATTTTGCTTCTCTGAATCACTTTCACTGCAAATCATATTTTTCTTCTTTTTCTGCGCACCCATCACCGGAGGATGAGGGGGGTATATTCATTTTGTGAAAACATTTGCCACGCCCCAAAGGAAATGTCAAAGCTTCCACAAAGGACATATATATTCTTGATCAGCGTCAAATTCTATATCGATTTAAGCATGTCCCTCTGTCCGGGTGTCAGTCTGCCTGCTTGTCCTCTGCTGGCCTCAAAATTCAGGCATCAACCTCGAATTTACCAAAAACATTGGCAGTTCTCGCGCGCAGCTTGATTTTGAAAATAGGCCAAATCGGCCAAAGGACACACTTACAGCACCACGTACACTGCGAATACCTCTGCTTTTCAAAAGGTATAAAAAATTGATTTTTTGCTCGTTATCCCTGAACTACAGGAGACAAGTGCACAAAAATTTAAATGCATATTTTACGAGCGATGCTGTAGCGCCTGCACAAAAATGGAAACAAGTTGACCGCGCCTACCCAATATTATAACGTATCAATATTTAATTTTTTTTTTTTTTTCCAATATCTTTATAAGAAGCTGCGAAAATCCCATAAAGTATACAAATTCTTGGTCAGTTTCACCCAAAACATGTCCCTCTGTTTGTCTATCCATGTGCCTGTCTACGTAACGGTGTAGTAGATGTGGTAAACATACTCCCATTACCGAAAATCGTCTAGAAATTTGCAAAGAAATTTAGAAATGATTTAAATTTTCCCAAGGACATGCCTTCAACGCCCTTCAACGTCTATATACAAAAAAAATTTTATTTTCAAATAGAAAAGATCAACCGCGCCCAGTCCATATTAGAGAGTAAGACAATTTAGTTCTTTTATTTTTTTTACCCCATTTCAGGATAACGACGATGGCATAATTTTCTTACTTGTCTTTAATTAACCATAAATTAGGCTTAATGTTAATTTGAATTCTTTTTTTGAGTTTGCAATAATGGAAAATATATATTGCAGTTATGCCAGCCAGTGCATATGGCAGTGATTAGCAAAAAATTTCAATTTGCTTAGGTGTCAATCATATTGCTCTGCCATTGATACATGTGTTGGATCGAGAAAAAAATGACGTTTTTAAAATCAGCCAAGAATTCTGAAAATGGTTCGCAAGTTTGTAGAAAAGAATTTGAGAAAATTGCCAAACGTGATTAACGTGAATTTAAAGTGTAAAGAAGATGTGTCCGAATTTTAATGGAAAAACGCAACGAACTTTTTCCGTAACTGCTATGAATCTTTAATTAGCTTTACAGCCATATTCTAAGCAACATCACCAAAGCTACGACACAATCAAACGTCAAATTACTATTATGACTTTTTGTGACTAATCATAAATTTCGAAACTTTGAAGAAATGCCTCATTGCTCGCAAACATTTCATAAGGCATTGTGGCGACGCACCAAGACGTCGATGATGATTTGTGAATAGGCTCAAGTGATCGCGTGCTTTAACATTCACGGATTTTTTCTTTGCGGTTACGTCAAAGCCTAAATCGACATAAGGCAACCAATGTTGGACGGAGAGATTAACAATTACAGCCATCGTGTGTGTCAATGTATTCAACGCCGAGGGGGACATTTGAACAATATTTTGCTGTATCTAGCGAGAATGCTATGTTCATATGAATACCAAAAACTTTTTCCACTTAGTACAATTACATCTGCAGGTTTACCATATAACGTCAGAGACTTTTCATTTAGGTCATATGAGACGTAAGTAAGCCTGTGTAGAGACGTTTTCCGTTTGTTCCATCTGATATCGCACAGGTGCCAGGATTTCTACGTGTAGTCCTCTACTTCTGGCGATCGGCGGGAACGGCTCCTCTTTCCCAGCTTGAAATTGCACTGCAATCGAAGGCAAAAGTTTTAAATAGGTCTCACCCACATAAAGTGTCGGTAGCAGAAAACGTAAGGAGACGACACGAGCTTTTTTTGTTTCACTCCTACTTTTGTTAACTACCGTGGAGCTAAGCGCGTACACGAAACGTAGAACTATAGGATATGATAAAAAATGAAAATAAAAAAAAAAAAATTTATTTACCGGAGACCTTCTAACTGAGGATTCAAAATTGGGAAGAAAACTTTACGTGATTTAAGTTTCACATGTTTGTAGAAAGCTTTGATCTTAACTTAGGTGGTTTTCCTTTCTCAAGATTGCATTGCAATGGCAAGAAACGCAACGCAGCACAATATTGTTTGCTGATCATGCCCTCCACGAATAATAATCTCGGGCAACAATAAAAGCATGTCGGTGTAATTGATTTTTCGTGGAAATTTTCGTCATTGCTTCCAGAATTTTGTTGAAATGAAGTAAAATGCATTTATTAAAGGCACGACATGTGTACGATGGTAACTCTTCTTTCAGTGTCAACGTCTTTTGAAGGAGAAAAAGCCCAAAAATTATCGTAAAAAAGAAATTCGCCTTTAACGTCAAAGTGACAAACGCACT